TTGGCAGACTCTGCAGGACGTAAGACAAGAGAAAAGGACTGTGTGCATGCATAAGTATGTGTGTGTGTTATTGCCTTAGGCGTGTGAAGATGGGGAGGGGGCTCCGTGTATATATGAACTTCTAGCTATATTTCTTAGCATATAATAGTTTAAGACACCGTATGCAGAAATTATGTTTTTTGTGTGTCATTATTTAGCACTTCCCAAGTCAAACGATACTTGGATATGTAGTCTCACATTTTTATTTTCTTTTTCCCGCTCGTGTCTTTCCCTCCTCTCTGGATTCCTTTTCCCTTTATTTTTGTTCCTCTATCCTCAGGGTTTGGGGGATGGTGTTGGGTTATTGACCTTTTCCTACACCTTACCATTTTTTTCTGCAGTACTGATCCAGACAGGCTCGAGGGCGAGACCAGGCGCCTGTGTGTGTGTGTGTGAGTTTGTGTGTGTGTGTGTGTGTTAGTGTTAGCATGTGTGTGTGTGTGTGTGTGTGTGTGTGTGTGAGTTTGTGTGTGTGTGTGTGTGTTAGTGTTTTTCCTTAGGGAGAGGGGGGATAATTGTAACACGTTTTGGTTTTTGCATTTATTGAGAAAATGTTTAGCTCAAAGATGTGAAATTTTACCTCCAATGTCTTTGACTTATTTAGAATGATTAAATTTATGACAAAAATGGTTTAGATACCATTGAACATTTCAAACACTTATTCTGTAGTGAAAAATAAGTATGTGATAATTTTTACATTAAATGAAATAGAGCTATATTTTGTGTAAAATTATTATTTGATTGTTGTAAATAAAATGACAACCCTAAAAACAAAACTTTTAAAAGATGTTTTTGCTTATTTTTGTATATCAGTTTTACATTGGGTACCAAACTGATATGACTGTAGTGTTTGAAACTGCCAGTTTTCTCGATTTCTCTGACTGTCAATCACTACTTCTCTCGTATTGACATTTCAAACAAAACCCCTTATAATCCTGGCTATGGATTTTGTTCTGTGCAGCAAATAAGCTGAGTGCAGGGGCTGCGTGTGGCTCAATGCTTTGGTAGGGTCATTATGCAGGTAATTGAGGTCAAACAGGGTCAAAGGTCAGTTTTCCCAGAGTATTGTTACTCCTTGACTGAAAGGTCTCTCTGGTCTTGCGTGGTTGAACGGGGTGAATAAGTCCTAAAGCCAATGCTACTGCAATTTGGCTTGATGGACATTCTCTGTATCAAAGCCTTGAGACACTGAGCCACAGAAAAAGGACTAAAATGATGTAATAACATGACATTATTTGATTTTCAGCAGGTCATAGCTAGTTAGTAGTGGGGGTGAATTCATAGGAAGGCTTCTGCATGCATTTATTCAGAGAAAGCTTCACTCATTACACACAACTGTAGCAACTCATAATCTAATAACTGCACTTAATGTAATATTACATTATTATTGTAATACAATGTTCATAATGTAATAATTTTCTCAAAACGTAATAAAATCTTGAGCTCACAATGTAATAACAATTATTATTACATTATGAGAAATGTATTACATTATAAACTCACCAAAAATAATTGTAATAGGCTTTAAAACATTGGTTTAAACAATGCACCAGATTTAATTATTTATGCAATTATTATAATTATTATTATTATCATCATGGTACAATACTTATTATATATACATACGATGAAGACTTTAGTTAAAAGATAATATAAAATATATATGTTTAAATTTTTTACATTTTTAATATATATTTCCTTTTAGGATTTATTTGTGTGTGTGTGTGTGTGTGTGAGTGTGTTTGTGTGTGTGGTGTGTTT